CACCAACAACAGTGGATGAATTCATCAAAGAGGCGACTGCCATTGAGCGGGTGCTTCGGCAACGATGCCGCCACTTTGACCGCCTGCCCAATCAAACGTCTGTTGGTGCTGCCACTCAAAACGCTGCCGTTTCCGAAAACTCTTTACGGAAAATGATTTGACAAATCCTGCGGGAAGAGCTGCGGGCCCTCGGCCTTCCGTCTACCGATCCCCAGTTGCTTCTGTTGCAGAAATTGTGCGCCAGGATCTACAGCAACCTTGACGTCACAGGCGCCACCACTCGAACCACGTCCACTGACCTATGCCGATGCCGTCCGCCGTCATCCGCCTACCCCAGAATAAGCACCCTTTCAGCCACGGCCTGTTACCTTGCCGTGGTGGCAGCAGAAAACTGTGCGGCGACCACCAGTGCATCAGACCGACTTGTGGCGCACTGCCGCCCGTCGACCCCTTTGTTTTCACTTCGGCGAACCAGGCCACGTCTCGCGCTACTGCCGTTATCGAGAAGCCGGGTTTGGAAACTTTTCTCGGCCCACTTCCTTTTATTCTGAAGACCCTCGTGACCATGGTGCTGATCACCTGCCGACCAACCAAGCCTCTTCACCAAGTCGTCGCTGGTGGTCTCCTTTACCTGCACGAGTTCAGAATTCCCCGAATGGCCAAACATACGCTGACGCCGTCAGAAACCGCTCCCCAAGCCCGTTCCAGGGAAACTAACGGCCGCGACCTCCGGGGGCAAGGTTGCCAATCGCCGAGACGCCAAAAAGACCCCCTTGCCTCTACACAAAGACGACGTGACGATGGTGATGACAAAGACGACAACAACCACGAGTACTAATGCCAATGACTTTGTACGTGCCCACCTCAGCATTATTATAGATGGACACCACGTAACAGCACTGGTTGACACTGGTGCTGACTTCTCTATTATGCGACAAGAGCTCACCGATCGCCTTAAGAAGGTTAAGATGCCGTGGAGTGGGCCGAGCATAAGGAGTGCTGGTGAGCAGCTAATGACGCCAACTGGTAAATGCACCGCTCGGCTCGCAAACGATGATTCGAACTTTGTCGCCACTTTTGTCGTTTTACCGGACTGTTGTAAAGAGTTGATTTTGGGTATGGATTTTCTACGAGAGTGCGGCGCTGTCATCAACATTCCAGAACGTATTGTCACCTTTTCCGCCCATCCTTACGTCGACGCCCCCACTGAAGAACAACTGCAACGTTTACGTGTAGCCGATGATGTTATGCTCCTGCCGAGATCTTGCTGCCTTGTGTCGGTGTTATATGAACGGCCGTGTCTTAATGAGGTGATAGTGGAGCGAATAGACACGCTGTTGCTTCCGCAAGGTGTCTCAACAGCGAGAGGCGTTCTGGCACTAATTGACGGGCGGGCAAAGTGCTCATCACCAACTTCAGCAACGAGCGTCGTCACATCCAGAAGGGCACCGCGATTGCCTACTACGACGACGTGGACCAAGCCAGAGATTGCTTCGCTTTGCAACCGGACGAGTAGACCATCCCAGGCCTCGACACCTTTGTCTGTCAACATTTGCTCAACCCTGTCAGCCTCAGATAAACAGCGCCTACAAGAGCTGATACACCAGTTCAAAAATCGTTTTTCGTCCACGTCGAAAGTCAAGCCAACACCACTGACCCGGCACCGAATCATCGTTTAAAAAATAGGAGACCGATCCGTCAAAACTCATACCGTGTGGCTACGAAAGAACGTGACGAGATCCAAAGTCAATTTCAGAACATGCTCTAATATGACGTAATACAGCCTTCCAAGAGTCCCTGGGCATCCCGGTGGTATTGGTTAAAAAGAACGATGGCAGCTTGCGTTTCTGTATAGATTACCGCATTTTAAACCACGTAACGAAGAGAAACGTCTACCTACTGCCACGCATAGATGACTCTCTTGATCGGCTGCGGCATGCACGCTATTTCTCATCGATGGACCTGCAAAGTGGCTATTGGCAAATAGAGGTCGACGAGAGACACCCTGAGAAAACTGCTTTCGTGACTGCCCGACGGTATTTATGAATTTAAAGTGCTTTTATTAGGGTTATGCTCAGCGCCAGCCACTATTCAGCGTTTAATGAACACTGTGCTATCCGGACTGAAGTGGCAGACATGCTTGGTTTATCTAGACGACGTTGTCGTTTTCTCTGCTACATTCGAGGAACACCTAAGTCGATTATTCGCAGTTCTACAAGCTATACGTTCGGCTAGTCTGATTTTAAAGCCAGAGAAGTCCCAATTCGGTTTTATGAACTTTTCTTAGGCCACGTCGTCAGCCACGAAGGTGTTCGACCTGACCCGGGCGAATTCGACGCTGTCGTAAAGTTTCCCGCACCGCATGACAAAAGAGCAGTGAGACACTTCTTCGGCTTCTGCGCTTTACCGACGATTCATCGCAAACTTTTCGTCTATTGCGCCGCCTCTGACGCGGCTCACACGAGAGGATGTCCCCTTTCTTTGGAGCGAAAAGGAACACACAGCGTTCAACGAATTACGCCAACGCCTTCAAACACCTCCGGTTCTTGCGCACTTTGCCCAGGAAGCGCAAGCAGCACTTCGCACCGATGCAAGCAATGTAGACCTGGGCGCCGTACCGATACAATGGCAAGATAACTCCGAGAAAGTGATAGCCTATGCCAGCAGAACTCTCTTTCGCATGGAAGAGAACTACTAGACTACCAATAAAGAGTGCCTCGCCATGGTTTGGGCGGTTTTCAAATTTCGACCGTATCTGTACGGACGCTCATTCAAGGTCGTCAGTGATCACCACTCGCTTTGCTGGCTCCCTAACTTGAAAGACCCATACGGCCGTTTAGCACGCTGGAGCATTCGGCTTCAGGAATTTGACATGACCGTTATTTATAAATCAGGTAAGAAGCACACCGACGCAGACTGTCTCTCGCGGTCACCCGTCGAGCCTGCCGCTATTAATGACGAGTCTATGGACGCCGCATTCTTGGGAGGCATCAACGCGGCCACTATCTCACAAGAGCAGCGCAGTGACCCTGACCTGCTTTCGCTTATAGATTTTTTAGAAGGACGACGGGAAGACGTTCCGCGAGTTTTTTACGACAAGAGTGTAATCTTTTTGTTTAAGGAACGAAGTCCTATACAAGAAAAACTTTTCTCCCAACGGCAGCCCATACTTGCTTGTCGTCCTGCATCACTGCGAAAAGAAATTCTGGGAGCCTGCCATGATGAAGTCACCTCCCATCATCTCGGTTACTCTCGGACATTGTCCCGTCTGCAAAACAGTTACTACGGGCCGAACCTACCTGCTGCTGTGAAACATCACGTCCAAACATGTGCTGGCTGTCAAAGACGCAAAGCACCACCCGGCAGGCCGGCAGGCTTATTACATTCCGTTTAAGTACCAGCAAAGCTATTCGCCAAATCAGAATGAATTTTCTGGGCACATTCCCAACTTTTACCACAGGAAACAGATGGATTATTGTCGCCACTGATTACTTGTCTCGCTACGCAGAAACTAAAGTCATGCCGAGGGCCACAGCAGCAGAAGCGGCTCGTTTCTTCATAGAAAACGTCCTCCTTTGGCACGGTGCTCCAACAGTTCTTATCGCGGATAGAGGAACTGCGTTCGTGGCAGAACTTTTGGAGTCAGTTCTCAGGCTCAGTGGTACAGCTCACCGGAGAACAACGGCGTAGCACCCACAAATGAACAGGACTAACAGAGCGGCTTCATTAAGACCCTCGCCGACATGCTCTGCGTGTATGTCGACACAGAACACAAGTACTGGGCCGAAACCTTGCTTTATGTGAACTTCGCCTATAATACTGCCTGGCAGAAAACAACCGGAATGACGCCGTTTAGTTTATTACACGGGCGCGAAGTCACTACAACGTTGGACGCTATGCTGCCGCACGAGTGTGAAGACACTCACGCTGACGCCGAAGAATTTTGTCAGCGTGCCGAAGAAGCCCGACAGCTAGCCTGCGTGCGTATTTGTCACCAGCAACACAAAGATGCGAAACGGTACGACCTACGACATAAATTGGTAACCTACAAACCAGGCGACAAGGTATGGGTCTGGATCCAAATAAGGTGACACGGACTTTCAGAAAAGCTATTACGACGACACTTCGGCCCATATCGAGTCAACCAACAATTGAACGACATCAACTATGAAGTTATTCCCGACGGCGATTGCAGTTACAGTCGCCGAAGCTGCTCACCCAAAATCGTGCATGTCATCCGGATGAAACCCTACTTGTTTAGATAACTCTCGTTTGTCCTGTGGGTGCGGGTAAATATGTGCGTTTTTATAAGTAGAGTGCCTTGGCAGCGCATCGGGACGAGGCCATTTTCGGAGGGAGGCAAATGTCACGTGCGTACCGCGAAACAGACGAAGGCGACAGCGCACACGCGCATCTGCCCGCTTTTATGCAGAACGCAACAACGAGAAAGACCAGGAACTCTCTCTCGCGCGCGTTTAATAAAAAAATGGACCCGCTGCTGTTTTCTCAAAGTATTCAAGTACGACCTCGGTCTTGACGTCGTGACAATATGTTCGCGCCGCTACTTGGGCCTATTTAAAAAATTTGTGTGAGTGAGATAATTGCTGCATCTCACGCGATTTAGCAAGAACACTACGGCAAAGTCATCGTGTAAATCGCGTCCGTTGGTGCATGCTATTTTATAAAGTCCTGATTGATTGATTTGTGGGGTTTAACGTCCCAAAACCACCTTAGGATTATGAGAGACGCCGTAGTGGAGGGCTCCGGAAATTTCGACCACCTGGTGTTCTTTAACGTGCACCCAAATCTACGCACACTGGCCTACGACATGCATGAAGTCCTGCTATGGGTGTGCGTGCTCTTCCTTTGTATAAATTTGCTCTCCTGGCATGTGATACTTTACATTGTCACGCACCGCGCTTTTTCTCGGCCGTGTTGTGCCATGTCTTTTTCGAACTTCGTCGCGGGAACTCTCTGGAGAAAGCCATGTCCTTATTCGGACTCATTCACTTACGGCCCAAGAATTGTGATGAAAACCAATCTGTTCTTATCAGCTTAGTACCTGGTATGTATTCTATTTGTATCCAAGATATTGCACTTATTTTTGTGATGCGGCAGAGTGCTTGACGCTTGCTTCACTTCCACCACGGGGTTGCCCGGTGTTGCATTACACCCGGGATCGGCCCACTCACCACAGTGGGAGCAAGCTCTACATTATTCTCAATAAAAGAGTGTCCGGATTCACCAACAATATCGGTGTAAACCACGTGAGTGCGGTGAGTGTTCAAAGCCTTGGTGAGACGCTGCCCCGGCTGACGCGGTATTCGCACCCACTCGCCTGTGTGCGGGGAGTGCGCTAGCTGTGTCCATTCACACTTAAGATTGCTCTGGGAAAATAAATGTTTGTGTGAAAATTTCATATTTGGAGATATCCTTCTTTCTTTTTATGTTCACATGTAGAGCCTGCAAGTTTTTTTACCGATCCCTACTCATTCAATAAAACTAATGAGTAATTTATCTTTACGTTTCAGAGGAAATCTAAACGTGTGTATGTCCCAAGCTATTTCCGCTTTTGAAATTCGCATCTACACTATTCCTCATCCCAAAAATAAAATTGCAAAGAACGCCACACGACCCACCCCGCACACACCTGCAGCACGGTGGAGCAGCAAAGCCCCGATGTGCTTTTCCTGTGTTCACCGACCTGGGTCCCAGCTTCTGCCAGCGGTAGCGGTAAGTCATGGCCACGCAGTCCTGCAGCTACCTCGCTAGCGCCCTCGGCCATCGCCTAGTTGTTGATGATATGATAATATGTGGGGTTTAACGTCCCTAAACCACCATATGAATATGACAGACGCCGTTGTGGAGGGCTCCGGAAATTTCAACCACCTAAGGTTGTTTAACGTGCACCCTAATCTGAGCACACGGGCCTACAAAATTTCGGAAATGCATCCAAAAAATTCAACCATCGGAAATGCAGCCGCCGCAGCTGCGATTCGATTCCACCACCTGCAGGTTTGCAGCCGAGTACCTTATAGCCACTAGATCACCACAGCGTGTATCGCGCGTTTGTTGGTCACACGCTACATTTCTGGACATCACCATATACCAGCTCATCCGTCGTTGGGTCTCGGTTTTACAACAAACATCCTCGCATGCTCACCTGAATGAAACTGCAAGTTCCTGGAAGTTCTAAGAAAATTGCGCACTAGACGTACAGACGCACCACGCACATACCTGAAGCGCTGCGGAACCCAGGACGTGCGAGATCACGCTCCGGACGCGCTTCGCTGTGCTTCGCTTCTGCACCCACTCATCACTCCTCACAGCTTCACTAAGCTGAATATGTAGAAGTCGAAGAAGCAGAACAACAAACCGGCCAATCCTCAACTGTGGGTGTGAGCTACGAGTGAAAGTCATCAAGAACAAGCAACACCAGCGAGGGCAGTGACTAAGCTATCGTAGTGGGGCGAAATAATCCATGAATATGGGTGCACGTTGCCCCACGGTCGTATTTGTGCAACCACCCATCTCCCAAAGACCGTCTGTCACGAGTGTAGTCGCACCTTACTCAGCGGAATTCAATGAAAAGCGCAGGCGAGTACTTCTCCACTGATTTCCGTGACCACTTTACGACCGCCTTCTGCCGCCTCATGCCCGGCTCCATCGACGAAGCGCCGCGCCAGGACCTCGTACACGCCACCATAGCACTCCGACCCCTCAGAATCAGCGAATATTGGAAGTTTTCGATCACGACAGGCAGAGCCTGCCGGCCGGTTGAACGGTTGAACGACATCGCAGTGGCATTTCGAACACTCACGTTCCGTCACCCTCTCCCACTTGACCCTTCATTCACCAGCATCACAACGCATGCTGTAGACGTTTCGCGCGCATTGCGGGGTCTGCTTTTCACGGCAGGACATTCGTCGACTTTAGTGCGGTGTTCGGCCACGTCGGAACTTGCAAGGCATACATTGAGCGCGCTGAAGCAGCCAAGGCACCATCTTTTTGCAAATGATTGTGGTCGTCGGTGCAGAGGCCTTGCTTGGGCAGCCAGCGTAGAAGCCATGTCAGATGGGTGACGTAGTGGCATTTTACACAGTAGTTTTTTTTGCTTCCAGACTTTGGTGCACGAGTTGGACATGTAGACATTGCATCACTTTTTAAAACAAGTGCTGTAGCATCTCTCGTGACATGCCTGATAATGTTTGCCGACAACCATTTGGTGTGACGTCATGGGCGCAATCGAGAGGTACGCGTACAAGCAAGCAAGCGTGGTTTCGACCTCATGGAAAAGAAAGTTTCAGTTTTAACATGTGTGTAAGCGAAACAAGAAACTTCAAGCTGACGAGGGATAAAAGCAATGCAGCGAAGCCAGCGCTGCCACTTTCGTTGCACAATTCTGGTATTGCATGGGTGGACGTCGGAATCGCTTTGCTACTGTTTGCCCGGCTTTTGGCCAGAACTAAATACAAGATGTGAAAGAATGGAGTTTAAATAGGTGCAAAAAATCGCATCGCTCTCAGCCTTTTGGCTTAGATCAAAGTGTCGAGTTAGCCATCTTTTGAGTCTTCGCGCGTAATCCTGGGTCATGTCACGCTGATGTCGACCCCTGGGGTTCAAGTTTCCAAACAATTCTACGCGGCATCGCTGCCCCGTACGCGCGATCGCCGCCCCTGGGCCTCGGGACTTCCTGACCGGTGCCCACCCACCCCATGCCAGGTGGAGCAAGGTACCCAGTCCACGCTGCCGTCCCGGAGCCCCCTGCAATCTGCCTGGTGCCACCAGAAACTGAGCGGCGCCTTTTCCGGCTGAGCTGCTACTTTACGAGTGTGCATCTTGCCTGCACGTGACCAGTCTTCACTAGACAAGCCCCCTCTGGCGGAAGCGGCAACTTCCACCAGAATGGCCTCTTCTTCAGTCGAGCTCCGGTGAGGGCGAATTGCTTCATATTTTCGGCGCCCAAGGTGACGTATCTATATGTGGCTTGATATATTAAGCTGAGGCAACTGCTGTGATGATAGTGTGCTGGTGTTGCAACATATGAGCGGGACCAAGTTGCTCGTCTGTACGCGCAATGCCAGCCAGGCTACAAGACTAATGATGGCGGAGGGTTTTCGCGTGAGTGGCCAAACGTTCCGGTTGAGGCCGTCGGGCCACCGGTTACGTACGTCAACGCCTACCAGTACCCCGCCTATTTATCAGACGAGACGCTTGGCAACGTTCTTGCTCAATACGGGAAAGTGCGTAGCATCTGCTTTGGCACGGTGGACCACGCGCCAAAATAGGTAAATGGTGTGCGAATAATCAAAATTGAAATAAGTCGTCCGGTGCCCACCTTTCTTACAATAGCGGGGCACCGTGTCATGTTCGAATACAAGGGGATGCGTCGAGTGTGTGCGCGCTGCGGCAGGGTAGGTCATAAGGCGACCGCATGCACCGAATCGTACTGCAAGCGCTCCGGCACTTTTGGGTACGATAAGGAAAGGTGCGAGGCAGAGTGCAAGCACTGCAGCAGCCACCATGGAACGAAGGAGTGCTTCAGGTGGCGTTTTTACGCGTCAGTGGCCTGCGGCTTCCCTCTGTTGTCACACCCTGATCCGCCTCAGCAACCTGAGCGGCGTCGCCGCCTCTAAGGCCACCAGCTTCTTGCGCCTTCAGGTGCTTTCGCCCAGGACCGGGACCCGTAGGACAGAAAAGCGTGCATTGCCCGGATGTGCCGACACCATCTCCGACCTACCTGCAGGCAGAAGCGTGGAGACTTCGTCTTCCAACGAGGGCAGAGAGCCGGAAAGGGTTGACGACGCCGCCAACACTGATTCGTCGGACTCAGAGTCGAGCGACTTTGAGTAGAGTTCGGCACAATCGTCCTCTTCCCCCGCACCACCCACATTCTCGTCTGGCCAGGATGACTGCTGAAGTTGGAGGCCACCGTAAAGGGACCACCGGAATTCCCAAGCCAGGAGAGGCCCCCCATACCCCTAAAGCTCCTGCTAATGTGCTAGCCCCCTTGTCGACCCGCGATTTAGAAGACGGCACGCAAGACGCTACTCGGGATGACGCGCCCATAGTGAGTTGCGGCTTTTATTTTCTGCTGTATTACTGCGACGGCGAACGCGTCCACTCCGGTCCCTTCTTCCGCTTCGTTGGCCGTTCGTGCAAGCTGGAAACCGGAAATGACAGGAAGCCAGCCACAAGCGGGCGCTGACGAGAAGCGAGGCGAGAGCGAGAGGACCACTGGCAAGGAAATAAGACAGCGACGACCCGGGCCCGAAGGACGAAGTAGCGGTTGCGACGTCCCGCACCTCGCCAAAGCCAAAAAGTTCGAGTCAGCCAGTGCGGGTAAAGGGGACCCCCATCCAAACCCCCCGCCTTCAAAAATTAGGGTGGCGCCGAGTAGCACCCATGCCGGCTGCGATGCGCCTCGTCTCCCGTCCCTTTGTTATGCCTCCTCTCTACCTCACCTCGCAAGCCTAGTGGCCCTTCTCGCCCGCCAGCGCCTGCTCCCTCTCGCATTCCACGCGGGTTTGTTGCCTGCCTTATCAGTTTAGGCGATGGCTTCGCTCCATTTCGCGACAAAGTGAAGCAAAGATGGGTAGTGGCCTTCGCTAAAAACCAAGACACTGATCTCCTATTTCTACAGGACATGAACTTCTTGTCCCTCCTCGATGTGGCCCACTTCCGGCGCGATTGCCAAGTGGAAGGTTTTTTTTCTCTGACGGCCGCCAGGTCCTCCGCAGTCGGGGTGGTATTTGTCTCTGGTAGATTCCGCCAACAGTCCCATTATGTTTTTTGGGCCCACGGGCACACACTTTTCTTGGACGTCTGGTTAGACGGGCGGAGGTTGCGCTTTGTAAACGTGTACGATCCCGTCGAGCGGTCGGACACGAATACTTTCTTCCGAGAGCTCTACGACTGCCTGCAGGAAGCCGTCCCGTATGTACTCCTGGGCGACTTCAACTGTGTCGTAAACTCGGCGAGGGATGCCCGAGGTCCAGGGTGCGGCGGCTCAACCTATATGCCAGAGAACTGATAAAGATACTCCGGCACTCGCGGCTTACGGACGCATGGGTGCACCTTCATAATGAAGAGTATGGCCCGACCCGGACGTCCCGTACCACAGCTAGCCGGCTAGACCGAGCATACACCCCTGATCACTTACTGCCCGCGGTCGTGTCATATGACATCCTAGC